AAAAAGATAAAGATAAAGAAACATTTGGATAAATAGAAAACAAAATTCAAAATTGTTAAAGATAAAATTAAATCGTCCTTTTCAAAAATGAATTAGGCGTAGCCAAGAAAGTGTAGCCATCTTTGAATTGGAGAGATATTAAGGTTTCGTTATGGACCATTTCATCGGGTTTTACACCTGTTAGATCAATTGTTTTGTGGAATGGTTATGTAATGAGACCGTAGTATTTCTCTTTTGAATTGTTATTATAAGTACTATTTTTTATTTTTATTACATAGATCTTTTGATTTGTGCAGCAGACCGTACTTCTTCCTTTGGCAGCACAATTTTTTTCTTTTTCTGTATTTTTCCTCACCTTTAAATTATAACTTGTTACAGTATTTTCCTAATTATATTGTACAAGGAAGGGATATTATCAGGATTTGGTTAATTATATTTCAAAATTCAGCTTAAAAAAGTAATAATAATACGGCGGCAGCGCCGCCGCAGGGAAGCGCACCGACGGCGGCAGAATTGAAATGGGGAGGGTTGGGGGGCCCACAAAGACCTAGGAATTCCGTGTTGACGGGGTACATGTCGTGCCTAAGGTGGACGGCACGTGTTATCTTTAGCCTTTGCTGGCCGCCCTTCATAATTAATTGCACAATTTGGACCTTTACTTTTTTTTTGTTAAATTTTTTTCCTACTTTTTGCCTCAATTTTGGATTCCAACACAGATATCAAATTCAAGTCTAAATTGCAGATAGCATCCCTAAAGTTATTGATAATTGCTCGTGGTGTCTACTTTACTTCTTTTTCACTTATGGCTAATTTGTTACTCCCTCATTTTTTAAATAAATGTCGTTTTGACTTTTTTGATTCATCCATTTTGCTATGTATCTAGACATTAATATGTCTAGATACATAGCAAAATGGATGAATCAAAAAAGTCAAAACGACATTTATTTAAAAAATGAGAGAGTACTATTAATTAGAAGCCTATATATGTATTATTGGTCAATACTCAATATCGAATATTTGTGGTAGTCAAATTAAATGAGGTATAATGGTCTTGCTTGTTACAAATATATTGGTATTTAATTAGATTTTTTTGTTAACTATAATTTTCTTTTCGAAACAATTAATTTCATAAATAAAAATTAGACAACAATTAGAATAAGTCAAACAACTACCTAATTAAATCTAGCGAGACTATCATGTGACGGACATCTACAAAATTCTCCAACTCACCCACAAACCAAACAATTTAACAAACTCAACAAATTTCACAAGGGATTATTCAACTTCCACTAGAGAAGAGTAACACCAAAACAAGAAAAACACCACAACACAATAACAAACAACACATAACACATACTAGGAAGAATAACACACTCCTCTTCATGGGCGAGACAATCCACAACGCAATGCGTCCTGACACCCAGAGATAACCGGCCACTCTGATAGGACTCTGGCTCTAGCACTGTTACAGAAACTCCAGTGTAGCCACAACTAGGTGGAACCGCACCAGACAACCATAATCTTCTCATAGACGCATCGTCCCGGTCTCAAAAATAATTTTTACTATCAATAATTGTCCTATACTTAAGGCGTCAAGATAGAAACAAAAAATAATAAAGAATATGTGTTGCAACATTTGAGACCAAATTCACAACACGGTCAATTTTATGGGACCAATTTTGTAATTTTCTCTTATTCGACCTAACGAATAACGACGAACAGAACTATCCCTTAAATTTTGACTGGGTTGAGACCAAATCTATGACAAAAATTCAAAAAAAAAAGACTGATTATGCAATGGATGGGGCAAATTTTACATTAGACCACTCCTACGAGACCAAATTTGCAATTCTCTCTTTTTACTACCATCGTTTTCAACGAACTTCTTTAGACTTTTACAATATATCAATTTACTTAATATTTTATATATTATCTAAATACAAACTCAAAATCCTTCAAAACAACTTATTTTAACCAACAAATTCCACCAAAATCGACTTTGTTCATATCCAATCTCCCGAAGCAATTTTGCATCCTCCCAAAGTAGTGGTCAATTAAAAAAATTCTACACAAGTTGTAGAATTTTAAGGGAACGAAAAATCGAACCATCAACGATAAAAAATGCCACAAAAACCCTGATTAATTTGAAGGCAGGTAGGGGCTCGATGTGTTCTACTGTATAGGCAGTAGGCAGTTTCGGTAGAGGATTCTCGGGCTCGGATCTTTCTTGTGTCGATCGTCCACTGCTGGTTAGGTTTGTCTGCTCGCAGGGGGAGAGCTCTATTTCTATTTTAGTAGTTTTTCCTGTTTTTGTGTTTGTGTTGCTTGTATTTGTCTAGTGTTTGTGATTGTGTTTTAGGTTTAGGCCGTTAGCCTCTATGCACCCGGGTGTCAAATTTATTACCCTGTGGGGGTTCGACACTTCGGTATTACCCTGTGGGGGTCTTGTTGTTTTAGTTGTTTGTGTCGTTGTTTTATTACCCTGTAGGTGTCTTGTTGTTTTAGTTGTTTGTGTCGTTGTTTTATTACCTTGTGGGGGTCTTGTCTTGTTGTTTAGTTTGGTTGCGAGTTTTTATTTCTAGCGGTTGCTAGCCGGGTTTCTAGGCGGTCTCCTGACTTGTTCTCCCACTTTTTAGCCATTGGCTGTCTGTATACGCACCTTGTGCGCTTTTGATTTATAATATTATTTATTGTTTCGAAAAAAAAGGCAGGTACATTAGCTAGGTCAAGAAAAATTAAATAAGAGTGCTTCATTTGGAAGTTTTGGGCCTATGATTCTTAGATTGTCAAAATTAACGATTCCCATTAGGAAAAGAAAATGTGGAGCAATAGCTATTTCGAAAAGGTGGGCATTATGCACTTTTTAACAAAATTAACTAGCTACAAAATGAAATGGACTAAAATATTTTAACTGTTAGACTTTTTAGCAAACTAAATAATAAAATTTAATAATTTGGATGGGAACGCTGTTAGTATCAAATATATTCCCAAATTGTATTAATTTAAATAAACAAATCTTGATTGAACTTTTTAAAAATTCCTTTTTTCATTCTTGATCCTTTTTTACTTATAAAAGAATAATAAATAACCGCGTTATGATTTCGATCCGGCCTAAAAAACGTACATACAAATAAACGAATTTGTAATTAAATTGACTGTAATTAATATATTAAAATAATTTATATTTACATTTTACATAAATTGTCAAACGGAGACAAAACGAGTGCGGACCCACGTAAATGAACTGCACCATAAAAAGATAAGCTTAGATGCACCATAATGAGGTTCTATTCTAAAACAAATTTGTGGTAAGAGGAGTAGCACGAGAATTATAAACTATGCTCATTTATCCTATCAAATCGATGTGGGATAACTCACAATTGACATTCCAACTTAAATAAATACTATATATCCTCCTTATATATAGTTCTCGAATGCGCTGAGCCTACATGGCTGCTTCTGGTGCTTCGGAATCCTACTTGGCGAAGAATCACGATTCGTAATTAGGTTTGGACAAATAATATTGATATATTAATAATTAATAATCTAGGTTTGGACATTACACAAATATTATTTATCTAACTTAAGTATTTTAATATCACTTATACTAATATAACTCTTTAATTATTTGTAATTTTACATAGTGAGACACTAAGTGACTAATATATCTCTGACTTTGATTTGTTTCCTTCAATTAACTATTGAATTGTGAATGTATTTTAAAAGTTGATAACTTTTGTGTTTCTTATCGGTTTTACATATATTATATATCAAATTAATCAACTTTTGATGATCTTCGATTTGACATCCATATTGTATATATGAAATAAATAAATTATATTTATTTTTATAATAATAAAAGATAATAATATTTATTAAAATTCATTAGAAAAATAAAATTATTTATCAATTGATATATTTATTTTTAATGTAGTTATATGTTGTAAGTAAAAAAATTATTATAAATATAATAAAGGTAAGTCGCACAAATAAAAAGTATCATACTAAATATATAATAATATATATTTTTATAAAATGTATTTAAATTTTCAACTACTTTTTCTCATTATTTTTTTTTTGATTTTAAGAAAAAAAAATTAGCAAACACCCGTGTAATACACAAGTGTTGTACTAGTAGAAAAATAATACAAAATAAGTATTTTGTAGGGTTCACACGAGCGGGTAAAATAATTTTGGTGACGGTGGGAAACAAGAAGCGTGTGGGGGGAGCCGACAGAAGGCGGCGTGGGGCCCAGAAGGGGACGTGGCGCCATCCGCTGCCGCTTTCGGTGGGGGGCGCTTTTCTTTTCATGTGTGCGCGTCGGCGGAATTTGTGGGGTGAGTTATTAAAATAAATAAATTCTCAAATGTAATGTAGAGTAGAGTACTAATGACGCCATGCGGCACCTTCTCCTAATCTGTCTTTATATGGAACAAGTCAATATAATCCGTTTCCATTTCAATTCCACATA